ATAACATTATATACCATCATGTGGTGGTACAGAGTCAGACTGTCTCGAAATAACTCGTGCGACACTGCAGCAGTGTGACTGCCATAAAGCGGACCAGAACATAGCATCAGCTTGAAGTGGGAGCACTGTTGCCAACTTAGCAATGTTGTTGCTGTATTTAGTGACTTTTTAGACCCCTGCATCAAAAGTTGCTGGAGCATATTTTTGTAAACATTGCAAGAGGTCAAAATACATTGTTTACATATTTGTTAAAATTATTGCCATGTCGAGTCAGTATAATTTGAGACAGATAATTTGTGAATAGCTCAAGTACCTCCACCTCCTCTCTGTGCTGTTATTTCCATCTGAAAGAATGGACTGCTGCCAGTCAAAAACAACCAATCAGAGCCAGGAGGAGCATCTTAGCACTGTCAACCTATCTTGTGAGCACAGCTATGTACTAATGGCGGCAAAAACACTCAATGTTACAAGTAAACAGCTTATCTGCTGTCTTAGGTGGCTATGCTTTCTAGCCTTAGCAGGCTGCTATCTTAGCATAGAGCAAGGGTGGAGGGAGGGGCACTGAGCAGCATGCACACAGGCATGATTGACAGTGCTAAGACGCTCCTGCTGACTCTGATTGTTTCACTGGTAGCACTGAGAGAATGCAGAGGAGATTGATTTTTTTTCTACAGATTATCTGTCTCATACTGCAACAACAGTGACAGTTTTATGCAAAAAAACATTTTTATAAAAGTGAATGAAAACAGATTAGAAGCATGTGTACTAACCAAATCACTGACTCCTAATTAGAATTTCCAAAGCTAGAACAGAAACCATAAGAGGGGGAGAAATCATTTAATTAACTGTAAAAGAGGACTTTCTGGGGAAAATTTGACTTTTGAATATTAGGGAATTGAAGTAAAAGGCCAAAAAAGAACTTTGACAGTAACTTTATATAAGACTATTACAATGGTGACCTTTTATCTCTTATAAGTATTTTTTACAACTGTGGGACACGTCAATTGTGATATAAACCAAAATTTTGGTTTACATCACCATGTTAAACAGGCAACAGACAATTCAAGAATCCAACAATAAATTAATGAAGAAAACATATAATGTCATATCTGTGCCCATGATAGAAGTATATGAAACTTTGACCCCTCTCTTACAGAAGTAACAGACATGTATAATAGAAAAATTCAAGTTGACTCTGTTCCAGACTAATGAGATTTCAAACAAAAAGTCATCATATCTGGGATTTACCTGAGAGTTTCGAGTTTGCAGTTTGGACTCTCCAGTCCAGCAGAGAGAAGCTTCACTCCTGAATCCTGCAGGTCGTTGTTACTCAGGTCCAGTTCTCTGAGACTGGAGGACTGGGAGCTGAGAGCTGAGGACAGAGCTTCACAGCTTCTCTCTGACAGGTTACAGCCACTCAGTCTGCAGGGAGAAACAAAAACAATAAAATGACAGACATCTGAGAAATAAAGAAACATGTACCCTAATGCACATTTCCTTGTGTAGATATATATTACAGATATAAACTGGGTCCTTGTCATCAATATTCAGATATATTTAAAACAAACATTTAATTGTGTGTTTCCTTACAGAGCTTTGTTGGAGGCTTTAACCACTGGCAGCAGCCTCAGAAGAGCCTCCTCTGAAGCAGAGTATTTCTTCAGGTCAAACACATCCAGATCTTTTCCTGATGACACTAAGATGAAGATCAGAGCTGACCACTGAGCAGGAGACAGTTTATCTGTGGAGAGACTTCCTGAACTCAGAGACTGTTGGATCTCCTCCACTAGAGAACGATCATTCAGTTCATTCAGACAGTGGAACAGATTGATGCTTTTCTCTGCAGACTCATTCTCACTGATCTTCTCCTTGATGTATTGAACTGTTTTCTGATTGGTCTGAGAGCTACTTCCTGTCTGTGTCATCAGACCTTGTAGGAGTCTCTGATTGGTCTGCAGTGAAAGTCCCAGGAGGAAACGGAGGAACAAGTCCAGGTGTCCATTTGGACTCTGTAAGGCCTGGTCAACAGCTCTCTGATGGAGAGACTTTAATTTAGTTTTTTTAAAATATGAACACAATTTGGATGGTTGTTTCTCTTCCATTAGATTGACCCCAGAGTCAATGAAGGTCAGATGAACATGAAGAGCAGCCAGAAACTCCTGAACACTCAGATGGATGAAGCAGAACACCTTGTCCTGGTACAGCCCTCTCTCCTCTCTAAAGATCTGTGTGAACACTCCTGAGTACACTGAGGCTGCTCTGATATCGATGCCACACTCTGTCAGGTCTGATTCATAGAAGATCAGGTTTCCTTTCTGCAGCTGATCAAAAGCCAGTTTTCCCAGAGACTCGATCATCTTCCTGCTCTCTGGACTCCAGTGTGGATCTGTTTCAGCTCCTCCATCAAATTTGACCTTCTTCACTTTGGTCTGAACCACCAGGAAGTGGATGTACATCTCAGTCAGGGTTCTGGGCAGCTCTCCTCGGTCTCTGGTCTCCATCACATCCTCCAGAACTGTAGCAGTGATCCAGCAGAAGACTGGGATGTGGCACATGATGTGGAGGCTTCGTGACGTCTTCATGTGGGAGATGATCCTGCTGGCCTGCTGCTCATCTCTGAATCTCTTCCTGAAATACTCCTCCTTCTGGGGGTCATTGAACCCTCTGACCTCTGTCACCATGCCAACACACTCAGGAGGGATCTGATTGGCTGCAGCAGGTCTTGTGGTTATCCAGAGGAGAGCAGAGGGAAGCAGTTTCCCCCTGATGAGGTTTGTCAGCAGAACATCCACTGAGCTGGACTCTGTAGCATCAGTCAGGATCTCCTTGTTGTGGAAGTCCAGAGGAAGTCGACTCTCATCCAGGCCATCAAAGATGAACAGAACCTGGAAGTGTTCAAAGCTGCAGATTTCTTTGGTTTCAGTAAAGAAGTGATGAATCAGTCCCACCAAGCTGAACTTTTTCTCTCTCAGCACATTCAGCTCTCTGAAGGTGAACGGAAATATGAGCTGGATGTTCTGGTGGGCTTTGTCTTCAGCCCAGTCCAGAGTGAACTTCTGTGTTAAGACAGTTTTCCCAATGCCAGCCACTCCCTTTGTCATCACTGTTCTGATTGGTTGATCTCTTCCAGGTGGGACTTTAAAGATGTCTTCTTGTCTGATTGTTGTTTCTGGTCTGTGTGGTTTCCTGGATGCTGCTTCAATCTGTCTGACCTCATGTTCATCATTGACCTCTCCAGTCCCTCCCTCTGTGATGTAGAGCTCTGTGTAGATCTGGTTCAGAAGGGTTGGACTTCCTGCGTTAGCGATTCCCTCAAACACAGACTGGAACTTCTTCTTCAGACCAGATTTAAGTTGATGTTGACCAACTGCAGCAAGATGCTCTAAATAACACAAATAACATGAGGAAGGAAACAAAGTCATTTTCTGAAGATTATTTGAATAATTAGTATCATCCTTAGACATCTGTAATAGGTTTTGAAATATCCATCAGGTTAAATCTTTGTAGAAATCCTCTTACTGCTCTGCAGACGGTCAGCCAGCTCCGCCTGCTTCATCCTCCTCAGGAAGTTCAGTGTGATCTTCATCATTGCCTCTCTAGTATCCCATCTCTGCTCTTCATCTTCACCTTCCAACTCCTCCTCATCATCTCTCTGACTCTCTGAGCATTCTGGGTCATCTGGACTCAGAACCTTCTGGATCTTCTTTAACTCGTTCTTCACAAAAATGACAATGTTGTCCTCTAGCAGCTGGAACAGAATAATATATGAAGAACACATTATACCTAAAATTATGAAGTCAAACATCAGATTCATACTGGACAGACTGACAGTCTATTTGTTCACATATTGCAGCATGGAGAAGGTGGAACAGAGCCTTTGGAAAAGTAGTTGTTGTTCATGTACAGACCATAAATATGGAGTCCAGTTGTTTTTGGTGCTGCTGGGCAGACAGACCACTGGGAACCTCTGAGCTCTCCTGATCCTCTCTGGGGAGCATTCATAAAAAATACGCTCAAAACCTTTCTTTCCACACAGAGACAAACTCATTAGGTCCCACCAAACAAAGGCAAACTATTATTCATTGTCCACAAAGAAAAACACACATTACATGTCAGAACTGGCATTGAAGTACATCAGAAATTATTTATGGGACAGAACTCTAAATGCTTCAGTTAATCTTTCACAATGACTTTGGAGATCACCCCATGTACCTATAGTAGCCCCTACTTTATTTTCCATTTCTATAAATGAGTTGGGGGAGGGGTTAAATGCAGCCACAGTACATTTATTTGTTGAAGACAGATATTTGTAGAACAGCAGCACCTCTATTGTAGTTGAGCTTTTATATAATGCAGTCATTGCGTAATCTAAAACTGGTTCTTATCTCAATGAAGACTGGATTTATGACTTTCACTTTAGACAAGTTATCCTTTTCACTAACACTAGATGGAATAAGTATAGAGAATCTGACTCCATTCATGTACTTGTGGGTATGGCTAGAGGACAAACCTTTCTTTGACATTCATATTGACAATCAGTGAAAAAATAAAATAAAACTTATAACTTAACTCTGATTTCTTTAGGTGCCTTCTTTTTGAATCTAGACAAAAACTTTCTTAAATGTTTGGTTCTCTTGGCACTGGATCATAGTGATAGTGTTTATAGGAATTACTCTACCACTCTATTGAAAAGACTGGACTGACCACCATCCTTTACTACACAGTGCATCATATTGTTAAAATTATTTAATTATTTTTCATAATAGTTGATTATTTAACTATGATTTTAAAAACCAAGCCCATTTCGAAAGTACTTTTTAATGTTCCCAGAGTGAAAACAGAATTTTGTAAAACTTTTCATTGGAGTCACTTTCAAAATGCAATAATTCAAGACTTATTTTTAAGGTTTTAAATTGTTATTAATGCATATAATTAGCTGCATATTCTATAAATTGCTTAATGTTGGCAACTAATCAATAAAGCCCAAATAAAGCAGATCTGATGCAGCAGCATCCAGGATGTTTCTTCTACACAAACTGTTTTACATTTAGACATATGGGAGAAAAAGAGATGAACTCACATTAACACATGTTGGAAGAAAAACATTTCAGACTGACTCAGTTTACGCAGCTCACCTGTCTAAAGGTCGGTGTGGTTTAAATTTAACAGGAAGATCCTTGGACCAGTCACTCTTAAAGGACACACAGCTGGGTTCAGGTTCAGGTCTCCTGATCCTGACAGAAAAACAAAATCCTCTCATTTAAAATCTTGAAATTGGAAGTAAAATTCAATTTTAATACTCTAAATAACTGTATGTCCAAACAATGCTTGTAAATTAAGAGGCTGCTTCAAAAATAGAATCTAAAACATAAATTGAGATGATTTGTTTTTAAAGTAAACTCTCAATTAATTTAGCTGTCAACAATTGCCCCTTGTATCTTACTCAGGTTTATTTACATCTTGATAAAGAGCAATCTGCACTAAATGAAGTTCATATATTTCTGTGAATGTGTCTGATGATAAAGGTAACCAGTCCCAATAAAAATATCCCCATTAAAACAGCTCTGAGCTGTGAAAAATATCTGTAAGTCTGGAGCAGACACAAACATGATCCATGAAACCAAATATATTCTCATATTTTCAGATTTTGAAAGAAAGATCTGAAAAAAGAGAGCTAAATCTCAACACAAGAAAAGTAAATCTTAAATATGAACTAAAAACAAACAGGAAAACAGTATGTTGCATGTCAGACTTGAGGTTTGTGTCAGCTTTTAGCACTTAATGCTAAAAAGGTGCAGATGTGTGAGAATAGAGTAGACCATACAATTATGTGAAAAAATTATGTAAAAAATACTGAACAGATCTGAAAAAAGCAGCTGCAGATTTCAAATCTTCTGTAACACACAGCTCACCTGTCTGTTTCTGAAGGTTTGGCTGGTTTAAATTTAACAGGAAGATCTTTGGACCAGTCAGTCTGACATGATACACAACTGGGTTCGGGTTCAGGTTCAGGATTGAGTCTCTGACCATTCCTGAAAGAAAAAAATATAATTGAGAACCCTTCAGTGACATTCAATTCAATAATCTAAACATTATATTGTTTTTACAATACTGGTAAAATACGTAGCTACCTCAGAAACCAACATCTAAAGTATATGATTTATTTGCCAGATATATTCATATTTAATTTTACAAACAACATGCCCTTTTATTATCCAGGTTTATTTGAAAACATATTTTTGTTGGCTGAACATCTGCCTTTAAAATCTTTAAAACTGTCCTCCATTATATTGCTCTCAATTGAAATACAGCTGGATTCTGGTTCTGGTCCAATTTCAGGATTACAACTGTGAATAAAAACAGTTTGTATTTCTGAAACCTTTTCATTCCATGTTGGACTATTGTTATGTTTTGTGTTTGTAACACACTGAGGTGAAATCAAAGCTGATTTACCTCTAATTAGTAGAGGTTGTTATAAGTGCCTGATCAATAATGGCTCTAATTCAGATATCACTCTAGTAAATTTGTTTCATAACACATTTGTGTGTAATGCAGTTTATTATAGTTTTTTGTTATAACTGAGATAATACCATAAAAGTAAAATACATTTTGACTTGATGAAAGTTAAGTTCTATAAAAACTACACAGTTGTTTTTATTGAAAACAGCAGATGCAGATTTCATATGTTGAGAGATACAGATTACCTGTCAGTTGATGAAGGGTGGGCTGCTTTAAATTTAACAGGAAGATCCTTGGACCAGTCACTTCTAAAGGACACACAGCTGGGTTCAGGTTCAGGTTCCAGTCTTTGATGGATCCTGATCGGAAAATATTATTTATACCTTTCAGTGAAAATCATTTCCAATTACATGTTCAAACAATGCCTGTAAAATGAGATTCTGCCTCAAGAAATTACATCTAAATTATGAGAAAAGATGATTATCTGCTTCTGAAATACATATAGTATATTTAGTGAAATGCACTCTTATATATCATCCAGGTTTATTTAAAAGTGTACATCTTGTTGGCTTGTTTCTTTAAAACTGGATGAACTTTTCTCCAATCTGTTACTCTCCATGGAGAGATAGCTCAGCTCTGGTTCCGGTCCAGTTCCAGGTTCATAACCATGACAATTTGTCAGCGCTGAGCTCTTCGATGGAGAAGAATCATCCGACCTTTTCATTATCACTGTTTACAGATGAACAGATGGAGCTTTGTGTTCGTACTGTGGTGGAATCAAAGCTGATTCACTGCTGAGTCCAGAGATTATTTCCACCTGGTCAGTGCCATTTTTTCAATTGTAACCTTGATAACTTATTAAATTATACTGTGACGGTTGACAGTTTGATTTAATGACACAATATATACTAAAATTAAAGCTGCTCTGGCAGCAACAAACTACAAATAAATAAGACACCTTAATGTCTGATCAAATATGACTTATAATGAGAAACAGTCATTCACTAATCATCTCCTGATCTTCACATTTATTATATTAATGCTGTGTGAAAAGGGCTGTGGACACTTAGAGATGGTGACCTCACCTGTGACCTTTGCTCTGGCTCTCATCTTCCCCACACAGAGTGGTTTTAGAGGGAGGGACTCCCTCCTCTGTGTCCTCACACTGAACCATGCTGCTGATTTCCCATCCACATCAGTTCACACACACTTTCTACCCTGAAGAGGAAACACACATTATCTGCACATCACCTCCAATCATCCTTCACATATGTGTTAAAAAGATCAGTTTCTCTTGACTCTCTAGTTCCTGTCAAAGACTGTGACCACCTCTCAGACTCCATCCTGCTGAAAGGGGTGAACAACCAGGTCAACAGTCTCTGACTCATGTTAGGACCTTTTCACACAGTATTGTATTCTGGTCTTAGTTGTGTTTTCATGGAGCACAGCGGGCGAGGACCATCATGTCAATCAGGCAGAGGAGCTCAGTTTTCCACAGAATATCTTTCTCATACTGTCATCCTAAATGGTGTCAAATTGAGAAGCTGTGTTGTATGGTCAGCGGTACATTCTCATATTTAACATCTGCACCTGGTAGAGAATCATTAAAATGAACCAACAAGAATATCCCTTATCATTAACCAGTCAGTCAGATGACCAGTCACATTCCCTTCAGTGTCTTTTTCCAGCTTCTTCTCTGTGGGAGGTTTAATAAACCACCAGCCCAGGAAAATCATTGACAAAAAATCCCTCATCCCCTCTGCAATAAACCTACTAAACAAGGCAGCATAATTGCATTCTATTAATAGAAATGTTTTAATTTATTTGTTTTCTGTAGGAAAGTGGGTTATATTGTTTCTTGTGGGTTTTTCATCTTCAATGAGTGTTTTTAACACTGAGTGCTGGTATACAAGAATTCTGTCC